GTGCGCGCTGGGGCTCCGGGTGCACAAACCCTTGCAGGTTACCGAACAGTCTCTCACAACCGTTCAAAGAGGTGTTTAGCATTTCTATCAGAGGAAGTGATTTTTAAAGGTCCCTTCGAACCCCTGATTCTGTGAAGTACTAAGTTACAGATCCACTAGATGGCAACTGGGCTACTTACACAGCCACACCTGAGGGTGATCATCATGATGTTACATCATGGTGTTACCCTTTGTGATGCGTCAAGGCTAGACCCATTCTGAAGCAACTTGTCCCTCTCTGTTCAAGCCCTCGGTATTTATATCTCATTTTTCTTCTTGCAGCAGTTGCTGGAAAGCTTTGGAAATGTGATTTTAGCATGCAACATTCCCCTGTGTAAAGGCAGCTGGTCAGGGATTCTAATTTTAAATATAATCACATATATTGATGTTTATTTGTCTGTTGTTTGTTGCTGTGTTTTTTTTTTAATTCTCTAAGAGGCAAGGTGGTCCTGTGATCAGCTCAATGCATTCGTGCTCCAAAAATGTGGAAACAGTTATAATTTTTACCATAGCCTTCCTCATGAAATTGTCTTCAAAATGTTGCGTGCACTCTTGGATTTTTGCAGCGGCCATTATAATTTCTACCTCATTTTATCTTGTATGGAAAATTCAGATTTCAGGTTCTTCAGTCATAGAATCATGGAGTGGTTTGGGCTGGAAGGGACATTAAAGATCATCTAGATCCAACTCCCCTGCATTGGCAGGTACACCTTCCACTAGATCAGGTTGCTCAGAGCCCCATCCAACCTGGCCATGAACAATTCCAGGGATTGGGCCCCCATAAGTTTCCAGCACAACCTCTTCCAGTATCTCACCACCCTCATAGTGAAGAATTTCCTCCTAATGTGTAAGGTAAATGATGGGCAAAGAGGGGCAAGGAAAAGAAAGGAGGGGCAAGGAATGATGTTTCCAGCAGACCGTAGGGATGCCTATCACTGCTTGCTGGGGTCTGTCTGCCTGGTCTCAGCACACAACCACACACCAGAAGACCCCCAGATTTTCCTGACTCACCTGTTTCACACGATGTTAATGGCCAGGAGGAGAAGACCCAAAATCATGGCCATGAAGGAAAGCACAAAGCCCAAGTAATTCCATGTTGATGCTAGGGGAAAGCACAATGAGTCAGGGTTAGCATGCACAGAGCAGTGTGGCCCACAGAGCCCAGCCAAGCTTTTCCTTAGGATACCCAACCTCAGAGTGCTATGGCTTAACTTATTTTTCTTTAATCTGTTTATGTTTTGCTTAGCACAGGGAGCCTTGCAAATCCATACAAACCCATGTGATTTGAATGATAACTACCAAACAACAACAATTTGTGGAAATGTGCTTTTTCTAACTCTTCTGCCCTTTTCTCTAACACTATAAAGACCTTTTTTCTGAGCAACATGAGCATGAATGAAACAGAACAGTCTTAAGAAAAAAGGCCTTATATTAGAGTCCATTAATCACTCACCCCCTGCTTCCCTGCCCAACTTTCAAAAAATGCAGGAAATTGGGGTGAAAAGTGCAAGAAACAAGGTAAGCAGCAAAAAACCCTGAAAGATTAAAATGAATTGGCAGGAAAAGCAGCCAGATTTTAGGGTGGACAAGTCACATTTTTGCCAATAAGTCTATGAAAAGTACCCCCACACTTGGTCAGGCAGCAAAACCCTCAGTTGACTCACTTCTCTGAGGCAGTATCCTGACATCAACCATACTTCTGGGACAAAACAGTTTGTCCTTTCCCAGCTTATTCCAGACTCAATGAACGGTAATTCTGTCTTTCACAGGAGCTCCCTCGTTTCTCATGAAATGAAAACTCTGCAGTATCCTCAAATTTCAGACATGCTGCACCCTCTTATACAGGGAAAAGAGTTTCCTAACAAAAACATCCTGAGGCCGTGAGTTTTTTAATGTCTTCAGGTGAAACAGGGCGATGAGAAGGACGTGCTGTTTCTTTGCTGCTTTTATGCTAAGTTATTTTCATCCAGATGAGATATGATTAGGTCCACGAAACTGGTATCACTTCAGTATAGAGACAAACTATATATCAAAATTCGGTTACACAGCTGCAAATCTGGGACTTTGGAAGAGGCTATGACAGTGCCAATGAACACAGACTAATAAAGATCAGTTTTGTGCTTTAATGTTCAAGGACCTGCAGGACTCCAGTGAGTGTAGTCTTTGGACTTTCAAGCAGGTAGAAATAGAATAATTCTCTCTGGTCCTTTCATTTCTCTTTCAGTAGGGTCCTCTGAGTACTCCATTCACCTACACATGATAGCTCTACCAGTTCATTAATTGTGGGCATGCAAGAAAAAGTTCCAAGGGGAAGGAGAGAAATAATGAATACTAAATTAAAAAAAAAAAATCCACGTTTAGGTCTGAAACTTGGTGTTTCAATGCCATGGAGGCACACATTACATACTCTTCTCTCTGCCTCTACGAAATGTAACACATTACATTATTAGTATATGCTAAGTAAAGCCTGGGTTTGTGATCACTTTTAGCTCTCACAGACATAAGAACTATAACTGATTGTCAGGTTCTCTGGGAATGCTCCTTTGGCTCACCCCTCAGGTATGCATTTTTCCCTCTAGCAGCTGATGTAGGTGCTTATGGTTATGAAAAGAAACCACTTCTCTCTGGAAGCAGGGCTGCTGATGTCTGTATGGAGCTATGCTTTTGTACTTCGTGTGCACTGGGAGCTGATGCAGATAGCACAGCTCTGGTGCTGCAGGTTCCCTCTCCTCTACACACAGTAGATCACAGATCTTGCTACTGGATCTACTGGGCAAAAAACAGCCGGGGTGTGTGAAAGAACCACTCCACTTTCTGAACAGCTTTCAGAAGCCCCACATTGGCCACACTCCAAGGACACACTCTGGGATCTCCACACATCTGTTTCCCACAGCCTTTATTCCTGCACTGTATGGTATGTCTACACTGCTTCTTACCCTTCAAATCATTCTTAGATTCCTACATCTTCTTAAATATGTGTCTCACCAGACTGAGTTATGGTGTGGTGTCAGTTTTGTGGCAAACTACCTCCTCTATTTACACTTCCCCAGTCTGTCACCCCACCTCTACTCAATTTAAGGTAGGCACAGCTTCTAAGCAAACCTCTGGGCCTACCTGTGCTGATGCAGAGGTCTGCTCATGGGGAGAAGCTGTCTTCAAACCATTCCAGCATAGGCTCAAGTCCTCTCCGAACTCTCCGGAGCTCATGAACCCCTCAAAGATCTTGTCTTCTTTGTGCAACTAAATTCGTAGCGCCGCATGGGGGAGCTTGTGCTGTGACTATAGCTCATCACTTCCAGATCAAGTGAGAAGGACAGCTCAGCACCGCTGAAGACTTCAGGCACTGGAAGTTGTGTTCTGGTAAGGCTGGTTGTACATAGTACACACACACTGCAGTAAAGTTGTTCCTTTTCAAACTGATCTTAAGTGACAGTCGCTGATTTTGCCTTGAAAAAACAGCCAAACCTATAACTCACAAGCATCCTTAGTCTGGTAGGTCAAATACAAAGAAAATTACTATAATTTAAAGCCATAAGCAAAGCAAATGAGTAATGAGGATCAATGCCAGCCATCCACTAAGATAACTTATGCACACAACAAGCAGCCTTTGATAACTAGAGTTAACTTTACTATTTGCTGAGCCATGTCTGACTGCAAAGCCATCTTGACAGCCAAGTAAAAGCAAGTGAACAAGCAACCCAAAACACAGGGAATGTGTCTGATCGTATTTGGCAAACAGATGGACCTGAAGACTGCTTGGAAACCCTTAAAAACATGGCCATGCCTTAGAGACAAAAGCAGAGTTAAAGCTCACCTCCCAAGTAATTCAGAAAATAAGTAACCTGAGGATATGAAAAATGTCAGGTATGTTGTGGTTTTGTTGTTTGTTTGCTTGTTTTTTCCTAAAACCAAAAAAAATAGTTGGAAAGCAGTTTGCAAGTATGAAGGATGTAACTGACCTTCTGGGCTGGCTATCTGGGAAGACAGCCAGAGACAGTGCAGCTTTGCACTGTACCTTTCAGCCACCCCAAAGGGTAGTCAGAGACCTCTCACCAACTATTTGATTGTCTTGCGTGCAGAACATCTCGCACTTCGGGTAACAGCTTGTCACGATCCGGTATTCGGACACGTGGCAATTTTTCATAAAGGTGATCCCAACTGGTGAAATTAAGACGCAAACGAGGTCAGATGTCACATGCACAACAAACATTTATTAGAGTAACAAAGCAAAGGTCCCTAGAGCGGATAGGACAGGCAGGAAAACAGAGACAG